TCCTCGGGCATGACGCCTCGTGTCGCCAGCTCACCGAACGGAGGACCGGCCACCAGCGCGCCGCGGTCAGAGGGCTCGCCGGCGCCGCTCACGCCCCGCGCCTACGATCGGCTGCTGCACGAGGAGAAGCGGCGCCACCTGCAGGAGGCTAAGGCGCTGGCGCGCGACCGGCTGGCGGCCGCCGAGGTGGCGCTAGAGCGGCTGCACCGCCAGCACCAGAAGCGCCGACAGCAGCTGGCGGACGAGCTGCGCCAGCGCGACCAGCGGCAGCGCGAGCAGCGCCGCCTGGAGCGCCAGCAAAGCGACTGGGAGCTGCATGAGGCGCACGAGCGCATCCAGCAGCTGCAGCAGCGGCGCGCCAAGGATCTAAGTGAGCGCGTGCAGGCGGCCGCGGAGCAGCAGCGTGCCGACGAGGAGGAAGAGCGCCGGCGCGCCGCCCGCGAGCGCGCCCTGGTGGACCAGATGTTGGCTGCGCAGAAACAGATGGGTGCCGTGATTGCCCAGGTGGTGGCTGACATCCGTGGCTGTCGGAACCGTGCCGGTCTGCAAGCTAGCCCTGCCGCCGCCCAGATGGACCAGCTTAAAAAGCTTATGGCGCGCATGGACACACTGGTGACGGAGCCGACGACGGCGCTGCGGCCTTCCGACGCCGAGGCGCTGGTGGCCGAGGCCGTTCAGCTCGCTGAGCTGGTCTCCAGCCGCATTGAGACGATCAACGCGGCGGCGGCGGCGGCGGCTGACACGGCAGCCAAGGCTGAGTCCGAACCGCCGGTGGCGCCCGCGGCACCGCCGCCGCCGCCATCACCGGAGGTCGCCGCCGTGGAGACCGAGTCGCCGTCGCCGGCGACGGAAACAGCAGTTTCCGATTTCGTGCAAGAGGACAATCTGCTTTGGTGTGATGGCTTGCGCGCAAAACTGACGCAGTTCCAGGCCGGTTTCGCTGACTTGCTGGCCGACCCGAGCCTGAAGAAGTTCAAGTTTGACTGCCAGAAGGCGGTCAACACGCCGATCAACGCCATCTCGCCGGTGTCGACGGCCCACCTGCGCGACAAGCTGGAGAAGCTGCGCGCGCTGCTGCGCGGGGAACCGGTGACGGTGTCCGGCCAGGGCCGGGTCACGGCCGCCGCCCACCCGCGTGGCGTCCAGTTTTGCCTCGATCTTGTCGCCAAGAAGTTTGTGCGCCAGGGGGAGGACGTGGTGTCCAGCAAGCCGGAGGCGGCGTTTGCGCTGGCGGCAGTGCTGTGCGCGCTGACACTCGAGTTCCCGGAGCTGGCGGAGCTGACGCTGGCCCACTGCCAGGCGCGCTGCCCGTACCTGGTGCCGATGTACCCGCCGCAGCTGGACGGCGATTCGGACGAGGCCTACTACCGCAAGCTGGGCTACGACTACGTGGACGGCGTGGTGGAGCGCCAAGACAAGTTCCTGAAGCGGATGTCGGGCGTGGCGCGCCTGTACGCGGCGGTGCTGACGGCGCGTCCGCCGCGCGCCGCCGGCGCCGCCGCGCGCCCCGCTCGGCCTGCGCCTCGCCTGGCGCTGGCTCGCCTCGCTCGTCAACCTCGAGCCGCGCGCCGACATCACCGCCTCGCTGCTGCACGACCTGCTGGAGGTAGCCGGTGCGGCGCTCGCCGCCGCCTACGGGGCGCAGTTTTTCAAGCTGGTGCGCCTCGCGTACGGCCGGTACCTGGCACGCGTGCGCCAGGCCACCCCGCCCGGCTGCGGCGGCCCGCTGGTGCGACTGGAGCAGCAGCTGAACGCGATCGTACGCACGGGGCGCGTACCGTCGCCGCCCGGCCAGCTGCAGCTGTTCAACTGGTGAGCGGTCAGGCGGCCGCGCCGAGTCGCTCCGCTCTCTGGGAGAACGGCGTTCGCCGTGGCCGGTGGCGGGGTCATGACGTCACGGACGTCAGGACGTCAAGGGAAGCGCCTGGCAGCATGTGCGTGGCAAGCATCTGCTCGACAGACTAGTCTGGTCTCCGCCTCAGTGCACCGCCGCTGCTCGCCCGTCGTCAGTTCGCACCTGACTTTGGCGAACGGTCCCAGAGCGATTTGTCTTCACAATGCAGAGCACGGGTTTGACGATAGTCTGGTGCCATGATAGTTGAACGAGTGATTTTGTCGAGCGCCTGTATCAGTGACGTAATTACGTTTTCTGGGGCCAGGGAGGAGTTGTAAAGGGGCCTTTTTGCCTGTTGTTGCGACGCGCATCGGTTGGGGCACGTGCTGTTGCCCGTTGGCCGTCAGTTTTGTCTCTCGGCGAGTGCTCGTTTGGTGGTGCATGAGCCGTTCCTTCAGACTGCACGTATGTTCAGGATCAGCTCGTGAATGTCAGTCTGTGCCAGGCTGTATTCTGTGCTGCTTCAATAAAAGTAATTGCATTGTTAAACGTTTTGTTTCAAACGGCATCGCTTTATCCCATTTGAATGCCGATGGCTCGTTTGGTGGGGTGTGCGGCACGAATCAAGCACGATACGGCTCAGAGTTGGAAGAGCATCTCGAGTAGGTGTACCAGCTGATGCATGGAACAATGCGCTTCTTGGACTTAAACCTTTTCGGAGAAATATCCGCACTTCTTATGCAGCACTTTGTATTGTCAGCCGTGCTCTGCAACGCTGCACACCTATGCGGATACGGACAGAGTGTAGCGGTAACACGGATCAGGGCGGAGAGAAACGTTAGAGACCTTGGCTCTCGTGGAACGTTCTTTGGGGTCGGGCGAAAGGGGTGTGCGAAATACGGTGATGTTGGCAAAGAGTATGGTAGCATATTGCAGCTCGACTTTAGGCATTTTGGGTTTCTTAAATGGCGCAAAAAGACATGGGCAATCGACGCGACAATAAAAAGTAGCCCGGCAAAAGACGTTTGGCTTAATGCATCCTAGTGATTTGTCCGAAAGCCGTAAGTTCGAAATCTCACCTCAGTTTGATAATATTTTGATTGTGTAAAGTCGCTTCATAGGTGATATTCCAAACAAACGGGAGCTTGTTTCTGTTTCAAGTGTGGACACAAAGAGCGCCGCTGTACCATCCTGGTCGCTCATTTGGCTGATTCACGGCAAGAAAGCGACAATTTTTTTAAGAGTACCGTGGTCTGCTGCGAAATCTAGGCCCGCTCGCAAGAGCCAGGAAACGCCAGACTAGGGTGTGTGGAAGGCCCGATTAACCCCGCCTAACTGGCTTGAGGAGCAAGTGGGACCTGCCGGCCTTTGGCTGATCTGTTACTAGTGACGATGAATCCGCTGGGCAAATGGTGCCCCAATACTCGTTAATCGTGATCTCGCGGAAGATGAGTGCGATCTGGAATGTGACAGGCCGCTGAAACCGTACTCACTCGGCTCTTGACACCGCAATTTTACGGGAGAGGGAATGGTGCGTGCTGCGGTGAACGCTGTAGTTTGCCATCTGCAAGGGAGGCTGTGATCTCGGAAATGACGCGAACTCTCAATGATTTTACGAGTTATGAGAGGCAATCGTAGGGCAAAAAATGACAGGTCACGCGATAGCCTCCGCCAGGTGCACTCGGGGAGGTCAGAGCACCCGCAGCATACCGCCAGCACACTTCTCTCAACTCCCAAGAACGCTCGCAATAATACCCCTCTGATATGGACACAGCTGCGAAGCAAATGTCTGTCTAGTAACGTTTATCCAGCTCGGTGGTGCATTTGGGCGACGACGCGACGGTGGTGCGTTTTAACACTGAATCACCATGCATCACGTGTCTATCATCCGGTCCCTTGGCGCGCTTCGTTTTCGATCGTATTTCATTACCAAAACATGGACGTAAAAACAGCAATCATTGAAGTAACATAGCTGCGCCAAGCTTAACTCTTAGAGAACTTTTTCCAATAAGCGGTGCCCCTGAAATATGCGCCATCATGACAACCGCGAGTGGATTTCTCGCAAGTGACATGTTTTCAAGTCATCAACTCAATAAGAAATTATTCAGGAAACAACAGCAATACAAAAAAGCAAGTAGGAGAGTCAAAGAACGCGAAGGATTTCATCTACAGCCAACAATAAAAAACGCCAGCCGCCGTGCCACATCATCATCATCATCATCGTCAACGCCATCGTCAGCTTGCGCGTGACGTCGCAGACCACGTGACTTTCAGGTCACGTGACGTGACGTAGACCGAATACTGGGCCTTGATTGGTGCCGACAAACGTGCTGACGCTGCCCAAGTAAACCGACAAGAGCCTATCACGAGCATCGTGCGGCTACTGCCGAGATACCAGAAATGGAGGCCACGAGCCGGAGATCAAATTTTTTAAATTCTTCAATGCTACGTCTACGTCTGCTACGGAACACATGCTGGCGGGGCAAAGCTCGCGTGGGCAAACAGTTAATGGTGCCCATATCCATGCCCAGTGGCATCAGTTGGACGACACTGTATTGGATGACAGCACCCATCGGCATGGTGGAGCAAAATTTACCACAGTATCACTCTATCAGATGATAATCAAGCTTAAAACTGAACAGGGGCAGCACTGCTCTCTTCATGTTGGACGTCCATAAACGCTGGATGCCTGGATGGCATGTAAGCTGGATGTTATGAACTTGGGATGCTACGATTCTGGTTGTTGTGAGCCTGGATGTTGTGGATCTTTCCTACCCAAGAGCTATTTGACGAATTTTGGACGTTTTGAACGCTGGATGTTGCGGTTTGGTACGTTTCGACCACTTGACGTTATAAAATCTGGATGGTTCAATGTGCATCCGGCTGCCTCACAGCCTGCAGCCGATGAATGCACGTGAATCTGACAAGGCACTATAATAAAAAAACATGCCGACGCACGGGAGCCAGCCTCCTTCCTCGCCGCCGGCTCCTCGCTGCGCAAATGGTTTGAAACTTTTGACTCTTGGTTTGATTCATGCTAAAAATCCCGTTGGTACATCTAAACTTTTCAACCTGCATAAAGCTGCCACATAGTGTGAAGCGACGTTTGCTGCGCAGTAAACACATTTAATGGGTTGTCTTTTTTGCCATCGAATGTGCCTGTGCTCGAAAACACAATTAATTACAATTGTGCGTGCGCCGATTTTTATAAGTGCTAACTGAGAAGCATCTTGCCAACATTGTAATGGTATGTGAGTGTGGCTATTTTTCGTGAACAGGTCAGAAAATGTCAGAAGTTGTCCGAGATGAAGTTGATCTCTGCCGTGCCCTTACTTGAAAGAAGTGGCACGAACAGCCATTGACATTTGACTAGTTGCAAACCGTGGTGACGTGTCAATGATATGTCTGGGGCCAGCAGAATCCCTCCCAAATAAGGAAGTAAGATGCTCCACTTAGGCTTATTTTATTTACCTGACTTACCCATTAAATACAATTTGTCAGCATATTTGTTCATTTTCTCTGATTTTAACTGGCATACAATTCATGAATCACATTGTGAACCCTCAATACTCTAATTCAATCATCCCTGCATACAAATTTGATTATCTTCCCCAAATCAGATGGTGTATCTCACTGCAAGGCTTTGATGCTACGGGTACATGTACTTTTTGCAAGGCAGACTGCCTTGCAAAAAGTACATGTACGCCAATTCAGATCAGTGGGGACATCACTGTGGAAATTTCAGCACACTGAAAGATTCCGTGGCCCTTAGAATTTGGGGCATGGTGCCACTAGTTTCCATTCATAGAACCAATGTTTTAAGGAATTATGATGCTGAGAAATAAATCTTCATAAGATTACCCAAAATATTATTTGTGGTGAAGTAATTTAAAAATGTACAGGAATGTGATCTAGCCATAGTTAGGCATACAACAGCATGGAATTTATTTACCATTATATGTGTTCAGCACAATGGATGTCTTTTTTGCAGGTTGAGGTTCTGGCTTAAGGAGATTGTATCAAAATCTACCTTGCTTTGCTGGGTGTATTATGTACCTAGATTATCAGTATATGCAAAGAACAGAAACTGATAAAATTTGTTATTGCTAATGTGTTAGGCCACTAACAGTGTATTTTTTCATTCAAACTGTGTTCATCCTGTGCCAGAAATGTTTAACTTGTGTGGTAAAATGCATATGTTATGCTATAACTCAAGGAGTGAAATATGCTTAATAATGCTTATGTTTGGTTTGGCAATATAATGTCAGTTTGATGTACAAAAATTGAGTGACAGCTGAGCACCATCGCTAACCCTGCAGGCTGCAGTTCACTAAATTGACACAATAGGAGGCAGCAGCTGCCAAGTATTGCCATGGCTAATAATGGTAAAACTTTCTGAGTTCCCTGCACTTTTCACAATTTGTGTTTAGAGATTTGCATAGCATTTTGTTGCATGACAAACCAGGTTTCAAGGAGAGTAATTGGCATGTTTAGTTTGATGTGTCCCATACTGAAAGAAAAACTAGATGCTGCTCACCTATATCTATGTTTTTTGTCTGTACAATAAATTTATGAAGAGCACTAGGTTATGGTAATCATATTGGGGTTGGTAGTTTTGCAACCAACTGTTCTGATACATATCTTATCCAGGTTTGCATGATAGGACTTGTTACCTGCTCTATGTCTGCTTTGATGGGAACATTGCTCCTGAGATTTGTAACATCCATGCTAAAGGAGGCATTATATGGCAGATGCCTAGTCAGGAACACATTCTGTACTCCTGAGGTGGGCCTTGGTTGTTAAGTAGGCAAGCAGGGATTAGGGTTAGTATATGAGATATAACCCTGCACAGAGAGCAGGTCAGCTTGCTGCCTGTGTCAGTTTAAATGATATGTGTCAGTTTGCCAATTTCTGGATTCAAATCCTGGCATTTATTTATTGATGGTTAGTCTTTTTGCTGCTTTGAATTTTTTATTAAATGTTGGCTGTTCATTCATCTAATGAGTAGCCTTGGCCTTTACAATGTCCAACATTTGTCACTAGATAAAGATTATCAGACATCTGGTATGATCTGGTGACACCATCTGCTTTGGAGGCACTAGGCTACCATTCAGAGGCACCATAAATTTGGGTTAGGCATGGTGGTGGCTGCCTGTTTGTAGCATAGGTACTTGTACCTGAATGATACTGCAATCAGTATCTTCAGCTCTCAGTGGGCTTCTGAGAGTCAGAAATGAATCAAATCATTGGTGGGTTAATTGAAATTTAAATCAAGCAAGTGACATGATATGCTAATTTTGGATGATTGATGTATACACAATGCAACAGTGTAATAGCTACATAGTTTCAAAATAGGAAGCCTTTATACTATTTTAATATTTCCATAGAATAGTGCATCTCCTAGGCTGCTGTTACTGAAGGCAGTTGCACCACACTGCACCTAAGTGTGTACATGGTTTCTCCTTTGGTTTTCTCATGGCTGATGATCCAATGCCAGCCTTGCACATGATTGATAATGCTTTTTGTTCAAGAACCTGGCTCCAGTATGCCTCAAGCAGCTGCAGGCGGGTATCCTATAGTGGCCATACACCGGCTTCAGAGATTATTTGGTAAGAATTTCTGTTAATACATTTTAAGTATGTCATGAGATGGGTTGGAAATTTGGAGGTGATATGTAAATTATGTCATTCTGTGCTATTTTGATGGCAACATTTATTTTTTGTGATTGCTCCCAAACATGGCTCTCATGAAATATGTATCACTCCAGGAATCAGCAGAAAATGTGCAAAAGTTATTATCAGGAGGCAAGAAGAAAAGAGAGACAATGAAGAGGATGAGATTTTATCAGTTCTTCAGCTTCTTAAGGTAAACTGTGACAATTTACTGTTGGTTTGCCTTTAATGGATCATGGTTAACCTCCCTCTCTGAATTGTTTGTGTCTGCCATTGATGACTTGAACAACTGATGTACCCGTGTCAAGTGTTTTGTACATGGAACCTGTTTTCAACTTTTGCAATGCCGGTCGTGTTACGTCAACTACTCGTCAACGCAGAAAGCTGATTAAAGCTTGTTCACGTGTCAGCCGGGGCCGTTTTGGTCATAGCCATGCTAAGCATCGTCTTCATTTTCTTCAGAAATGGAATTTGAACGTGGAGAACGTGACCCGTTTTCCGCAAGTCCTGAAGGGCACAACAATGTCTCTCGATCACCACAAGCACATTCTGGAGGAATGCGGAATAAAAGTCGGCGTGTCCAGTTTGGCGGGGTGAGTAGCACTGCATTGATTTGTGCCGCGAGATACGACAGGCTGCTTTGTCGACATTCGTCTGCTACTTGATGTAGCCGTTACAACAATGATCCAGCAAACGGCCACCACCGGCGCAGTGAGAGGCCGCCGTTGACCGCTGGAGGGTCCCCGTCATCGGGCCTGCGGTGGTACGCCCGCCGGCGACACGGCGACCCCGCCGTGCCGGTCCATAGCGGGCCGCCCGTGATAGACGTGATGGACTCGCCGACTTAGTGTCCTCGTTGTAGGGGGCGGGGGAGTGCACTTCATCGCTCGCCGTTTCATCGCGGTCACGCTCCAAACCCGCACCCAAACGTGTGATCCACTGACTGTATGCCCTGTCGGCCAACGCACCAGTCCCAAGCGGAGGCCACGCCACGCCATGGCGACTGGTGGCGGTAACCGGCGTCACGGGTCAGCACCCCGCCGATAAGCAATAGACCGCGCTGCCCGTGATTGCTCATTGCGGCCTCGCCTTTGCCCGCGCTTGCCCCGCAGCGTCAACGATGAACCCTCTTTGGGCCTGCGCTTGGTCCCTGGGAGGGAACCGTTTATCGATAATAGTCCAGCATTCGAGCGGCCTTTGTCTCTGGGCCTTCTTAGGAGCGTCGCTTGAGTGATGTACCTGCTCGAGCCTGCCTCTAGCGCGCAGCGGCGGCGTAATCCATCAATAACGGACGTGATGCGGCCGTTCTTGCGCTTCGCCGTTGCGTTGCCTGCACTTGCTCTTTGTACCGTCGGTGGAGCTGCAGGCTGACGGAACACTGCGGCCACGGCGTCTTGGAGCCAGCGCCGTCAGCCGTCTGGCTGCCCTGGGGCGCCGTTGGCCGGCGCGCCGGGCCGGGCCGGCTACCCGCGCGTGCCCCGCTGACGCCCGGCGCCGGCAGGTACCTGCGGCTGAACCGAGCCTTCCTGTTCGCGCTGGAGAGCCACGGCGCCATTCCTCCGGACCATGACATCGTTCAGACGCTCTGCGACTCGGTGGAGATGACGTCAGCCGACGACATCAGGTCAGCTGGGACAGGACCCGGGCATCCCTTCCGCCTGTGTGTGGAACAAGGAAAACGGTGCCAAGTCCCGTGTTATTGGTGGTCAGGCATGAGTTTTGAGGTAAATTGGGTCCTCTTCACTTCTGACATAGCGTGACGACAATGCAAATGATTTCAAGGAAGAATTCGTTTCAGGCGCTATTAAGCGTTCATGTTTGCGTACGCTCTTGCGTGGCCACCATGCGCCTGACACGCAAACCCCGTATTTTATACGTCAAATACGCGACCGGTTTTGTCTCTATGATGCTGCCACGACGAGCTCTGCGGCGTCTTTTGGCCAAGCCTGTGTGTGGAAGACGTTTTCTCCCCTCCTTTGACCGCGGTGTGCGCTGCTGACCCTCGCCGTCGCCGGACGACGTCTCCGCCCGCCGAGCGTGACGCCTGCGGCCTTGCTCTGGCAGACACTCCCTGGGCAATGTCAGCTCGCGGCCGCTGATGGACGTGCGCCTGGCCGTGTTCCGGCGCTTCCTCTGCCAGAGACTGGACTGCGACGAGCAGACGGCCCGGGTGATGGTGGAGCGCTACCCGCGCAACCGGCACAAGAGTCTGCGGCTTACCGCCGGCATCCTTTGCCAGCTGGAGCAGCAGAACTTCAGCGCCGAGAAGGTGCGTCAGCGGCGGGAGTCGGAGGGGAGCCGAGGGCGGTCAATGCCAACATGTCCGGCGACACGCGCGAGGATAGTGGTCTGCCGTGGGGTTGGCGGCGGTGGCCTGTGCTGAAACAGGTGTCGTGGTTGCTGTGGGCAGATGGCTAATTGTTCAGGCGTGACTGCATCAGTAAGGCTCCCATCCTGTGGCGGCACTTTGTGCTCTAGGGGGGGGGGGGGGGGGGCTGACCCCCAATATTGACGAGCCCCTCAATGTTTTTCTGTCCCTCCCCCAATGATTATTGGCAAAACAAGAAAATACTGGGTCAATGAAATGTAGCGAATTTCTCTGAATCGCTATCATGCTCATTTTCTGCCGAAAAGTATCCCATAGGCAACTAGTATTTGACCATGCCAACCCTCCTCTGTATGCAAATGCGAACGTTGCGAGATTTCCATGGGAGAACACGGGTAAATCAGTACAAAAAATGTACTGTGGTGTGCGGCAGCTTTTCAAAACACTGTGACCCAGATAAATGCTGTCTAACGTTTTCCTCAACAACAAGTATGTTTGTCGCACGACGATAGCTGTGGTCTTATTTGACTGCCAATGCCATGGCAAAGCACGAGCAGCGACATTGATTGTAGAAATTCCACATCCATGAAACAGTGACCATAGATACCGTGGTTCTCTCTGACACTGCCCTCCTTCCGTCCCCCCGCCCCGGGCAGATCATCCGGAACCCGTACTTGCTGAACACGCACCCGGAGCAGCTGGAAGCGCTGCTGAAGAACTGCCCGACCGTGGCCAGCACCGACATCCGCGAGATGATACACCGTGTGCCGCGCATCGCCTACATGCCCTGGCACAACACTGTGCAAATCATCAGGTGCGCCGGGCGGCGAGGTCGGGAGGGAGGGGGGGGGGGGGGGCAAGGGCATCCGTCCGGGAGGGGCGGCGGGGCCGAGGCTGTAATGGTTACCCTTTGGATTCGTATGTTGTGGTGTTGTCAAGTGCGCTCTTTGTAGGCGATTGTCTCGGTTTTCTATGGGCTTTCGCCTTGTGATGCAGACGCCTGTCGAAAAACGGTGCCAGGCATTTTCAGTCGGGCAAAAGGTGTGCACGTTCATTCCGTGTATCTGCAAGATGACCGAATGAATGCTTAGTGAACATATACATCCAGCCAATGTGCAACACGTAGTATAGCATCATTATTGTGTCTCGAACTTATGTTTTGAATTCTCATGACCTGTTGATAACGTACGCGCGTGTTCTCGGTGAGCACTGTCTGCCTGCGCCTGCCAGTCTCCTGGGCTCATCCCGCCTGTTGTCAGTCGCTCAGCCTGCTTCCGCCAGGTGCCTGAACGAGCACGGCTTCTCGGAGAAGATGGTGATGAACGGCGCCGAGTTGTTCTCGCTGTCGGCTGACACCGTTCGGCAGCGGCTCGCTCTGATGTCCGAGGTGAGTCACAACGTCTGACAGCGGCTCGCACTGATGTCCGAGGTGAGTCACACCGTCCGACAGCGGCTCGCTGCGACATCCGGGGTGAGTCATATCGTCCGACAGCGGCTTGCTCTGATGTCCGAGGTGAGTCACAACGTCCGACAGCGGCTCGCACTGATGTCCGAGGTGAGTCACACCGTCCGACAGCGCCTCGCTGTGATGTCCAGGGTGAGTCATACCGTACGACAGCGGCTCGCTCTGATGTCCGAGGTGAGTCACACCGTCCGACAGCGGCTGCTCTGATGTCCGAGGTGAGTCACACCGTCCGACAGCGGCTGCTCTGATGTCGGAGGTGAGTCACACCGTCCGACAGTGGCTCGCTCTGGTGTCCGGGGTGAGTCACACCGTCCGAAAGTGGTTGCTCTGATGTCCGAGGTGAGTCACACCGTCCGACAGCGGCGGCTCTGATGTCGGAGGTGAGTCACACCGTCCGACAGTGGCTCGCTCTGATGTCCGAGGTGAGTCACACCGTCCGACAGCGGCGGCTCTGATGTCCGAGGTGAGTCACATCGTCCGACAGCGGCGGCTCTAATGTCCGAGGTGAGTCACACCGTCCGACAGTGGCTCGCTCTGATGTCCGAGGTGAGTCACACCGTCCGACAGTGGCTCGCTCTGATGTCGGAGGTGAGTCACACCGTCCGACAGTGGCTCGCTCTGATGTCCGAGGTGAGTCACACCGTTCGACAAACACGCAGCTTAACCACTATACTACGGGCACCCTATGGGCTTTTGGTGTGCGGTAGCTTTAGTGGTGTCGTTGCGAGTTCACACGGCTGTCGGGCCGCTTCCACTCCACGTCGCGTACCAGTAATCCAAGTCAGATGGAGACACACACCCCCATGCACGCCGATCAACACAAAGGAACGCATGTAACAACATATACAACATGAGCACATACATTTTCTAAAATCGGTTGTGAGAGGTTTGTGCCGATCAAGCTTGATTTCGCCGGTTACGAGTACACTCTTAACGGTTTTGGTGTAAGCGATTAAGAACGCGTGATGACAGATTGTTTGACGGCAACAATACTGTACATCACAGGGGGCTTGTGTGTCACGTGCCAGAATGGAGGTGGGAGGGCGACGATTTTTGCAGGGCAGCCCAAAAGTCCGACCATTTTGCCGGTGATGTTCGGGATACTCGTATGCCAGTTGTAAGAAAAGCTTGGAGAGGCCTTCGGCTCCGGCACAATCCAACGGCTAGGCCGGCCCTGTGTTCTGCGTTGTTTGTATGCTTCATCGCGTCAATCAACATTTGTCGCTCTGCTCTTTTAAGAAAGTTCGAACCGTACATAAATTTTCTCGGAGTATGTACTGATGATGCTGACCGCGACCAGCCGTCTAACGGCGCGCCGCCGGCCGCCTCTCCGCCAGATACCGGAGCTGTGGGCGATGCGGCACAACAAGAACTTCCTCAGCATGGTGTTCTCCTTCCAACGCACGCTGGGCCGGCTTAACTACATGCAATCCATCAACATGCGCTGCGTCAGCGTGCATATGCTCAGCACGTTCTATCCGAACTTTCGGCGCCACGTCAGCACGGGCGAGGACAACAGCGGCGGCGTCGACATGGTCACCTACCTGAGCAAGCGGCTGGCGGCGCCGCGCGGCTCCATCCGCCACCAGCTGCGTCTGCACCCGTTCTGGCGCTCGGTGCCGCTCGCCAGTGTGTCGCGGAGCACCGAGGCGCTGCTGGAGGCCGGCTTCTCGGCGGAGCAGGTGCGTCACGCGCTCCAGCTGTGCCTGTACCCGTGCAGCCGCGTACTGGCGGCGGTGCGCGCGGCGGCTGACGCTGGCTCCGTGCCTGAACCACACGTGCTGCAGCTGGCGCTGTACCTGCTGGAGCGTGACAGCCACTTCTCCGGCACGGGCGTGTTCGAGTTCGCGGCAGTGCAGCGGGGCGTCGGCGGCGAGCTGGCGGCCGTGCCGCTCGAGCCGCGGCGGGTGGCGCGCCGCCGGCCGGAGGACTCCCGCGTCGGCCAGCTGGCGGCGACCGGCGGCGGCGCCGCGTCCGACCACTGACGCCGGCCGCCGGGCGGACCGCCGCCGCTGCTGAGGGCCGACCGCGCTGCAGGGAGTGGGCGTTGGCGGCGCGGGAATGAGCTTGTGGAGGTTTGGGGCGAGCTGCAGGAGGTCTGCGGGGAGCTGCTGACGGACGGATAGCTGATGTGAAGTGGCGGTTCCTCCGGCCTCCTGTGATTGAGGCTGGTGGTCCACTATTGTTTTTGCTGATTGAGTTGAGAGCATTGAGCCGTGGTGCTGAGCCGACTACCCTGGATTGCGATAGGCAGTTTGGCAGCTGGTAGCCTGCAGAGGAATGGTGCAACACATGTTGCTCTCCATCCCTTTTTGAATTTTTAAGTGCATGTTTGTGCATGGTCGTTTGTCCCCGGCTAGAACGACATTGCTCAAGTGGATGTATATGTACAAGTGGACTGTTTGAGATGTGGGTCGTGCAATACAGGCCATCTAGACTCGATCTCCGATTTATGGACCACAACATGCGCGTCATCCATCTGCTCGAGTTTGATTTGGAGTCGCAAGCATTTTAACATGAACGCCTTCGCTCTGTCAAGTCAGAGCAAATTGCGAAACAAGGAACCACGAGTAAAATTAAAAAGTAAGCAAATCCAACTATCTCACCTGGAAGTTCCGCCTGTCGGTGGTTCTCAGCAGCGTTAAACTTCCGTTGCGCAGCGGTAAATATGACTGTGGACCACATACGTCCCTAACTCGCTCCAGTGGAGAAAGTCCGGACGCTGGCCCATAGCTCATGAGGTGCGCCCTGTCGCCAACTCCGAACAGCACAGATAGCTGGGGACCAACGGGGATTCCGACTAAGGGTTCGCGGCTCAGTGCCAGCGGCCTCGCCCGCGAAGTGGATTTCCATTGCGGCAACTTAGGAAATAATCCAAGCTGTCGGCGTGATTCAAGCCCACATCAGGCATGTGTTTTCACTACGTGACAACAGTGCCTGAGTAGCCATTTAGTGTATAAAAACGGGCAGGCTAGCCAAGCATCCTATTACAGGCATTTACATTCGAGTAGACGCACCGACGAATCAGTGGTAGCGATGCCCACTCTGACGTAGCGGAAGTACAAAGAACTAAATTACCCTGTGACGCTCCGAAAGAATGGTTGGTTCGGGAGTCGACTCGGACTCAATCCAAAGTCTGGCACAAGTTCGGCATGCTGCATGTGACGACGGTCACCCATCGCAGTCAGCAACGCCTAGCAATGCGAAAAGCGATACCACCGCCACCTGCCGCGGACCTGGCCTTCGTCGCCGCCGGACTGCACAATAGCTCCACTCTTTCACTTCCGGCGAAACGTCATGGGCGATGTCTTAGCCGCCGCTCTGTTTTTGCGTCGCGGTTTGTACCACTGGCTGTCACCGTGTTGTACGTATTCACTGTCTGAATTTCTCGTGGAGGATGAGACCATCGGCCTACTGGCATATGACGTACTGCCATGTACGTGACGTACACGGAGGACCCCGGGCACCTGATGGACAACAACCCTGGTTTTATGTTCTGGACGTCGGCATTGTTAACCCCGTCAAGGAACACTTCCTTGCCTGTTACAAGTTCAGATGATACCGAATAAAACCAGTTTTCATTTACTGAAAGTACCGTTAGGACACGTTACTTTGCATCGCTGTGTTCGCTTACCTTGTCTGTTCACACCCCTTTCAAACGAGGTAGAAAACAAGTGGATCTCGTCCCAACCAGCAGAAAGTTTTGAAATGAGCGGCCTAGGAATGCTTGGAACCGATCTCAGTCCACCAAAGAGCGCAATACGGGCAGATATTTTCGTCATTGCTTGCCACGAATCTTTATCGGTTGTTGGTGACGGAGAGCATTAATTTATAAGCGTGCAGCCGTATTGGTCGCCTGTACAACGCGCTTTTGCAAATACTGAAGGCTTGCATGAGTTACGGTGGCGCAAGTGAACTCGAAATTGATCGTGTTCCTGGTATGCTAGAGGTCGATAGCTATCAGCATAAGAGCTTGCATCGATCATGCAGCGTCGATTATGAGTTCACGATAATGCCGAAAGACCAGTGGCTCAAGGTCACTCCTGGCTACATAGGAAAAAAACTATCTCTAAGAGGAAAAGATCAAGAAGCAAAGGGACCACGATCCCTGACATCTGTCGTGACTTATGTTTTAAAGAATTTCTTCCCTTCACTGCGAGATGAACAGGGGCTGTACCTCCTGAACTCGCTGTTAATGCAGCCCGACGGCCCGGAAGACATGGCTGATCTCGACTAGGGCGGGGCACGCCCGGCCTTTCGATATCTCCGAGTCAGCCGCCGGAGCGCCTTACGAGGTCACGCCAAACACGACGTCCGCAGAGATAGGTCAAGCCCTATCAGCTGGGGAGAAGGCCCATTAGCTCAAGAGCGGCATTGTGGACTTGGTGGGATCGAACTCAGTTTTGGCATGTCAGACATGAATGTCTACTTTGTCGTGATTGTCTACACGTAGTTGCATGGCGTGCTGGGAAAGTTACGCCTAGTAAACCGTCAACATTGGCCCAAGGCCTTACATTTACAACACCTCATGGATGGCTTTCTCGATCGGGTCACCGAACGGTAGGTATTACCGAAATCTCCCTAGCGTGTTTTTCATGAGGGGTGGCACGGTAGGGCTGCGGACGACGCAATTTGCATTATAGCACCGTTGATGACGGAGAAGTGTCTCGATAGCTCCCCTGCGTGCGCCTTCTACGTTTGCACCCCTTCTCGCCGGCCTCACCAAGTCAAACCTTTGATTCGCCGCGTGCGCCGTTATCGCACCCCGTTCCGACTCATTGCTGTCCAGCTTCATTCTGCTCGCGCCCAACAAAGCACATGTGCTGGCTGTGCTTAGTCAGGCGTCAGCGCCGCAGAGGCGGAGCACACGAGAGATGCCCGTCGCCGCCCGGCCGTTGACCCGCCCTCGGGCGTCCGGTGGCCGTGGGCGGACACCGGCCGACCCAGCCCGGCCCTTGTGCCGCGCTGTGCCGACTCGCCTGGCGCGGGGTGGCGGGGTGGGCCTTCCGTGAACCTCGGCCCCATCTGGGCTGGCTGCAGAAGGCTGCAAACGCCCGCTCGGCACCGGCATCCCCGTACCGCCGTGGCCGGCGGCCGTGGTCGGGCCGAGCCCGGCATCCGTGTATGGCCGGCCGGCGGCCGCTGTCGGGCCGAGCCCGGCATCCCTGTATCGCCGTCCGGCGGCCGCGGTCGGGCCGAGCCCGGCATCCCTGTATCGCCGGCCGGCAGCCGCGGTCGGGCCGAACCCGGCATCCGTGTATGGCCGGCCGGCGGCCGCGGTCGGGCCGAGCCCAGCATCCCTGTATGGCCGTCCGGCGGCCGCTGTCGGGCCGAGCCCGGCATCCCTGTATCGCCGTCCGGCGGCCGCGGTCGGGCCGAGCCCGGCATCCCTGTATCGCCGGCTGACGGCCGCAGTCGGACCGAGCCCAGCCACCGCGGGATGCTGTCGGGCTTGTCTAGGCCATGGACGGCTTTGTCAGCCCGCTACGCGCGGAATTAACTGCTTATGTAACCGGTCTTATTAAATGCATATTTGAAATATGCAAAGCCCAAGTCATTGACTTAACTGATCGCCACACACTGACATTTTCCACACAGTGGGCGGAGGTCGCGAGCCGGGGACGGTATGTATTTTTAACCCCCTTGCCATCGCTAACCCAAGGCCCTGACAACCATGTACTGACTGGTACTTTGCTGCATGCGGGCGCCAAGGCCAAGCGATAAACCGCCTTGATTTCTGAGAGGACTTGACTTTCATATGATCAGCTTAGCTCACTGAAATGCGAGAGATGACGCAAACCAGTTGCACGCCAGAATAAGGAAAACTAAAGGCAAGCATCTGCTTATAGAATTTTTAAAGGCTTACATAACACGGGCAAGGTATGAGCCACAAATACAAAGATGCATACATTGTCTTAACAGATGTGCGTGCCTCGCAAAGGGTTCCATTGATTTATCTCGCAACAATGTCACTTTCTATCTTCCCCATTACGTGCATCGCCACGTCTCCAACATTGAGCTTGCGCGCACAGCACACGGCTTCCGGGAAACTCCTGCCGGCACGCGGCCGCTGCCACCGTCGTCCGTTCCCGCTCCGGCTCCTGTCGGCACGCGGCCGCTGCCACCGTCGTCCGCCCGCGCTCCGGCTCTTGCCGGCACGCGGCCGCTGCCACCATCGTCCGGCCGCACTCCGGCTCCTGTCGGCACGGAGCCGCTGCCTCCGTCGTCAGTTCCCGCTCCGGCTCCTGCCGGCACGCGGCCGCTGCCACCCTTGTCCGTCCGCGCTCCGGCTCCTGTAGGCACAGAGCCGCTGCCTCCGTCGTTAGTTCCCGCTCCGGCTCCTGCCGGCACGCGACCGCTGCCACCGTCGTCCGTTCCCGCTCCGGCCCTTGCCGGCACGCGGCCGCTGCCACCATCGTCTGTCCCCGCTCCGGCGGCATATCGGCTTCCCCATCCGTCGTGCTCCGCTCAGTGCAAGTGGCCTGAGCAAGGCCAAAAACCGCCGAAAACGAAAAGCGGTCTGACCACTCCTAACCGTAACCTAGCCTTTGCAGTCTGCTGATAGCCGTCACAGCCCTGGCGCGGTGACAGAACCAGCTTTCGTTGTCTGTCGGCGGCGCCCGGACGGCCTTAATCCAGCCGACGGCCGGCCATGGCTGGCCCAGGCCGCTGGGTTCGGACCTGGGATGCGTTCGGTCAAACTTGGACCGTCGATTGGCTCTGGATCACAGCTCCTGTCTTGCGTCACCGAATGGCTAATGTTTGACTAGTGTGGTAATTTAGGTGGTCCGTGGCTGGACCCGCCACGTCCCTTCTATCACATCCGCTCATCTCTACTGGCCGTCTGTCCATCGGTCCCGACTGACCCGGGGTCGCTCAACCTGCAGAGCCCCTTGGCTGCACATTGACCACATTGACCTCTTCACAAGGGTGTGACCCCCAGGAACCTTTCGGTGCTTGATCATCTCAAAGCTCCTGATTATTGAACAGCTTTTGAGGTATCGGAAGCCCCAAACGTGCAGGGCCCTCGGTCAGTTTCGAATGGCAAATGTCAAGGTTCGATTCGATCGCGGTGGGGCCCATTCGTCGTCTTCGGTGCCGGCAAAGGCCCCACCGTGCCTTATCAGTTATCACTTGCCTCTTGTTGGTTTCGGGAAAACCGATTTGTGTTCTCGACATTTACCGCTCACTTCACTGCCCCTAACTCGTTGTACCAGTTAAAACTCTATAAGAATCTCGATGTCTAGAGCTTTTGCGGGTCCTTTTGTATGGAGGTCGTTCGATCGCTTCAGCACCAACGCGTCCAGGGTCAACTCGACAGTTTCGTACGCTGTTGGACACCTTCGTATCCCATGACCATTTTGGGAACCTTTGGCTGTCTTGTGATCTTCGACTATCTCGGAATTCTGAGCGTCTAGGGTCCTTTGGCTGTTAAGTAGACCCTGACCATTTTGGGTGGGAGCCATTCTCACTTTTAGATAACACTTTCCAAGGCAAACAGCAGCCCGAGCCTGGGGAGCAATTGAATTTTAAGGGTGGGCCAAGTCCTTTTCAGTTAACTGGGTGTCCAACTGAAACATCTGGTGCCATCACGACCTTCTGCTCTTCTCTGTCTCACCCCTGTCCCAAACCATTATTGCGTTTCGTCCTGCCGCACCAAGTTTTGCAGCGATCCCGTACCAGTGGCCATGCCCTTCAGAGGACGCGCCAGTGTCCCTCTGCTTAAGAGGACGCACCAGCGGCCCTCTGTTTCAGAAGACATACCGGTGTCCTTTTGCTTCAGAGGACGTTCCAGAGTCCATCTGCTTCAGAGGACGCACCAGTGGTCGTGTGCTTCAGAGGGCGCACCAGTGACCCTCTGCTTCAGAGCACGCACCAGTGGTCGTGTGCTTCGGAGGGCGCACCAGTGACCCTCTGCTTCAGAGCACGCACCAGTGACCCTCTGCTTCAGAGCACGCACCAGTGGTCGTGTGCTTCAGAGGACGTATCAGAGGCCGTGTGCTTCAGAGGACGTACCAGTGGTCGTGTGCTTCAGAGGGCGTACCAGTGACCCTCTGTTTTAGAGGACGTACCAGCGGCCCTCTGCTTCAGAGGACGTTCCAAAGTCCCTCTGCTTCAGAGGACGCACCAGTGACCCTCTGCTTCAGAGGACGTACCAGTGTCCCTCTGCTTCAGAAGACGTACCAGTGTCCTGCTTCAGAGGACGCACCAGTGTCCCTCTGCTTCAGAGGACGTACCAGTGTCCCTCTGCTTCAGAGCACGCACCAGTGATCGCGTGCTTCAGAGGGCGTACCAGTGGCGGGGTCGGCACGCCGTGCACATTCCAAGTGAGACGCGATAAGGCACGTCCTTGCTGATCAAGTCAGGGAAACCTCACCATCTGCCGTCCAGCGACAGACATATTCGGAACGTGTTGCAAGTGGATCTAACGATAGGATGCAGCATCATGCATTATGAAAATGATAGGCGCTGGGCATCTGAAACATTTCACATTGTGCAGTGCTCTCAGTCCTGATAAGACAAGTGTGACACGGCGGATTTTGTGGCATGCTTTTTTCGCGCATTGCAACGTTTGTTTGAAATCGGCACCCACTTGTCTCTGCATGCTGCACTCGAACGCGTTAACTTCACCGCATTGCGCAGCGCGGTTCTCTGCGCGGTCTCTGCAATGTGAGTTAGCACAGCGCCTGCGTGTTTTGCAACGAATCCGAACAACGCCCTGTGTAATTAGCCCACAAGCACTACGTATTTCGGTAACTCCGCATTCTAAGCACCGCCTCCTTATTTCGTTATTATTGGGGCATGGACGGAATATTTGGCCTATGCGTGTCAAAACACCCCTGCCGCTGTTCGGCGAGTACGCATCTGATAGCTTATCTTCCTGAATGCCTTCGAACTGTCGGCAGCTGCACCACAGCGCCTGCCATTACCTAACATCATCTGTATTCCACGTGTTCCAGTCTGACGACAGGGTCATAAACCGAGGTTAAGCAACCAAACTCCAGTCTTCCCCGGCGAGCGTAGCTCTCCCGCGCGTACATACCTGCATGAAGCGGGCCACCGCTGAGCCGGCCCCGGTTCCGGCCGTTCGGCAAATATGGCCGGCCGGCGGCGGCAGGCTGATCCGGCCGGGCCGACCGACCCCGCCGACGTCCCGGGCCGCGGCCGGCCGGCCAGTTTCACCTCCCACCTTACCACGCGCCCCGCCGGGCCCCAGTAGCCGGTGCGACCCGTCGC